CAAGTTAATTGGAAACCAAGTATTTATCTGTTCCTGGTGCACCTCTCGCTGTGCTTTCAACTGCATCATGCAGCAATCTCAGAGGGTGTGAACTGGACTTACTTTTTTGATTATTTATTTTGCCCTGAATGCATGCATGAAACTAGAGGCACACTCTAAACATGTAAAGAAAACTTTCTCTGTGCCTGTCTATGGGACTAGGCTGACACTAGTCAAAAATCCATGTGCTGAGCACCAGTTCTTTTGCTTTACAGGTCTGCTCCTGTTGCCCTACCTTACTGTCAACAGAGATGTTGCTTGGATCTCACCTGTGCTATGCTGCTTGCTGCTGGGAAAAGCATTTCATTCCCTTCTGGTTAACTGGACATGGAGAATGTTTCCAGGTCATTTCCCTCCTGCCTCCCACCTTTGCAGAAGACCTGTTGGAATCTGTCCGGCATGCCCGTTGTTAGCCTGCTGTTTGCTTGAGTAACCAATTAGCTGGACTATGCAGGAGCTCCTGGGTGCAAGGCTTGCCTTACTTGTTCCTAACCAGGCTGAAGTATATGTGTAGTTTTACTGATTAATTTGCCAAGCCACCAGTGAGATTTTTCTGCATTTCTATTGCTCCCGTTGGAGCTGTAATTTTTGCCAAACCTCCCAGGTTAACACGTTTCCCTTTTTGTCCTGTCCCACTTGCAAAACTCCTGTTGCTTGACGATATGATGGAAAGCCTTCATTCAGTTACACAGAACAGTCTGTGTAAGGAGACTGCACAGTCTCCTTAGGACATTTCAACCTCACATGGATTCACTTTGGTGGAGAAGGAGGGGAGAGCAAGGACAGAAAACACATCCAAAAACCATTTGCTAATAGGGAGAACGGCTTTTAAATGAAATCAAGCAGTGTCTGGTTTTATCATTCATTTATTTAGCAAAGAAAAGAATGAATTCAAATACCCCACATAATGAACACTTCTCTATTCCCTGATATTGAGATGCAGATTTGCTTGTGAACAATCTTAAATGAATCAGTTTTGACACTACTGCAGTCATCTTGTACTGTGCATGGATTTGTGCAGAAGCTATAGATTTTGTGCTCAATCCTGTAAACACACATTATAAAAAGCAGCTTATTACCTCTGTACCTTTGTATTCTGTGTGGTTACTTATGTAAAATCACACTTGGCCTCAAGAGCCAATCTAGATTTTGTCAACCTAAATTTAGGCATCTAAAGAGCCGCCAAAATTAGGAGTGTATCTCTCCAGGCTTCCTATACTGTTAGTGGAGAGACACAAGCCTTCTCCAGGAGTCAACTCTGGCCACTGAAGAAGGATACGCTCCTAGATTAGACAAGAGAGAAGGGTCCCATCTCCGTCAGACACAGAGGGTGCTGATGGCAGCTACAGCTGTAACTTGGCCAGATGCCTCAAGCAGAGTGAGATAAACGCAGACTCAAGTGTTTACAGAATTGGATCTCGTATAGCAAAGCCATTACGCACACAATTAGCTTCAGGAATGTGATTATGTTATGTTGATTTTAATAAAACTGGTCCCACATTGAGGGATAAAGAAGTGCACATATATATTCTACATTTATGAGGAAAAAAAATATTGAATCATTTTTCTCATTGATATTTTTGTTGCACCTGGGGCCTCTTACTTCCTTTTCTGGTTTGAACAGCCATGTGGTCTCATGATCTGAGAACTCTTTTTATTTCATGTAAGTGCTGTGGTAGCTCTTGATTCATATATTGGCATGGTATTTCCCTCAAGGTTAGTGTGGAATTCTGATAAAGCAAACTAAATACAGACTGTCCTGTACCAATCTGAGCCTATGCCAGTTTTTAAAATTAATGCAATCAGTGCAGAAATAGTTTAGGATTATTAAATACTGGCATCAGAGGTAATATAGTTACCTATCCATAACAGATCACTTTCCCCATGCCAAAAATACATGCCTGCTACTACCACAAGGCATTTAAGGGTCAAGGGGGTTAATTCTCCCTTTCCAAGAGCTACTGCTGTAAGAACTAATTTTTCCTCTTGTACAAATCCTATTGGCTTAAATAAGATGTGCACTTTGTTACATTTTTGGCAAAAAAAAAAAAAAAAAAGTGTTCATTTTGTTTATATTTTTGAAAAAAAAAAAAAAAAAAAAAAAAAAAAAGAGTTATCATGCAGAAAACTACTTTGCCCCAAAGCATGTGCAGCCTGTTTTAGGAAGGGAAAAAAAAAAAAACACCCTACTAAATAAAGTAAATTTAAACCTAACAGAAAACTGCCTTTTGCATGGTTCCATGTGTTAAGAAAGGCTGTTTCAAACCACCTGGACAGCTGTGACAAAGTCAGAAGGTGCAAATATTGACAATAGCACATCTAAAATTATCGAAGACACAAAACTCTAATGGCTTTAAAACTTGTTGTCTAAGAATCTAGCTTGAGAAGGACATCCTGGGATCAATATTTCTCATTGAAGAAATGTTCACATTTACCCTGAAGCAATGTGAAAATCAGACCTCAAGCTGCATCTCTGCCCGCAATTTAGAATTGCGTAATTCGGGAAGCTAAATGTCAAAAAAAAAAAAAAAAAAAAAAAAAAGACACTTCTCTGACAAGATGGCATGATCTTTAAACGACATCACACTGGAGTTAGTCAAAGAGTTGGAATTCCAGAAGCACTCCTTTGAGAGATGGAAGCGTGAGCAGACTGGGCATCTGCTAACTGCACTTAAGCCTTGTGTGGCCTGTGCAGACTTAACCTAGGGTATTATCACCATATATATAATGTGTCTTTAACATATGAACCAAGCTGTTCAAGGAATGGAAAATAGATAGATGTAAAGATAGGCACACCTCAGAACAACTGAAGAGTTAAAAAATGCTCATTTCAGATAATTTTAATTACAAAAAAAAAGATTAAAATCAAAATACACAGTTTAAATATTTTAAAAATATTGGACTCATAACTAATAGTCTAAGTATAAAATCCAGAAGCCAGACTAATGTGCTTTTAGTACAGTGGCAGAGAGGAATAGTTTTTTCTGCATTTATGTGTGTGAATATACTGGTGTATTCCCTATGTTGTTCTTTTTCTTGGCACTGATAGTAATATAGTTTTTATTTTCTTTATACTTTTTTAAATTTAGAATTTTAACTTTTGGCATGAACAGAGCAATTCAGACACCATGCTGGTTACCACTTGGAGAGTTTTTTCCTTCTCTATCCATGTCACTGACTTTCCTTGCAGAGAAAATTCCCTCTTGCCCAAAGGCAATTGGCAAGATAATCTGATAATTTCTTCCCGGAAAAATAAATCTAATGTACAGTACAACCACAAATTATAGACAATCAGTATTATCATACTTTTTAATATGGATTGGTGTGAGGGGTAGAAGCTCTTTCTTTTGACATAGTTAACATTATCAAGGGTAACTGTTCAGTTGCAAAAATTGGAAAGATGCTCTCAATTACTTTGATAGATGGTAGATGTGTGGTCACTTTGCAGCTTTTCACAGAACACCCATTTTGCATTCTTCTCATTTTACTGCAAAAGAGAAGTACGAAGCATAGTACCACACTGGGAGCTAACCCCACTCAAAAATATTACTCACTGCCATAGCTAGATAAGGTGTTTATTTTTAAGTAAATTGCTGGATCACCAAAGTGATACTCTGATGCTGTCTCACATTGTCCGTGTTCCTTGCTACTTATTGCAATTTTTCACATAGTTTGGAATTAGTATAATTTATACATTTTTTTTTCTGCTATTTGCCTACAGTAGCATAACCTAATGATCTGATACAGTGGAAACATTTGCACTGTGCTTCTCCTTGCATACATTCCTGATATTCTGTGGTTATGATCTTTGTACCAAATAAGTTCAAAAACCAAAACATCCAACTCTTTAATCCTTAATATTCATTTTTAATTTCTTCTTATGAGATTCTGAGTGGCAAATGCCACCTTACTAAAAAATATTCTGTAAAATCTGCCCCAAATCTCTGCCCTTACTTTTTAATTTTACATGTGGAATTTCAGTTCCAAAAATAATAATGTTATAAATGTGGATGAAGACTGAGAGAATAAAATGAAATGGTATAAAAATGTGAAGATCCTTTGTGTTTCCTCACCTGCCACTAGGAAAGAAATTAAAACTGATAATTTAAAACGTAACCAGCATTTAAATATTTACATCAATAAGGTCCAACAAGAAATGCACTTAAAATGCCTTAACAATATTCCCTCACAGGCAGATTAATTTGGATCAAACACATTGGTAAGATGAGACAACGATTTGCGAACGCATACGCATTTTCTGATTTTGCTTTGCTTTGTCAAAAACATGTATATGAATTCAAAGCTGGAAAGAGAAAAGCAGTTCCAGAATAATGCCTACATAACCCCAGAAAGCTTGAGGCAGTAGCAAAACATGGTGCAATCACACCTTTCACAGAGCGGCATGACGGGAGTGTTGCAGCAGGCCAGACACGCGGGCTCCGTATGCACATGCTGAGGAGAAGAAGCCTCTGGACCACCATGACTCACCCAAATCTGCATGCTACAGTGACTCTGGCTTCCCAACAACATGCAGAAACATCCCAATGTGCCTTTCCTGTCTGTCCTCCTTGCTTCTCTGACACTGTCCCATAAAGTAAATCAGGCATAGGCTTTAGGTCACTTGACTCGCAACTGGAAGCCATCTACCCTGAAAGTTTTGTGCTTCACCACAATATCGTATCACTTGTATGTCCTTACTTGTCACACTCTTCACACAGCTGAACGGAGCAAAGAACCCTAGCCTGTATGATTTACAGTCCAGAACATGAACCTGCTACAGGACATCACTGAACAACCAGATTTCGTCTTGACATTTTTCTCAATGCTCTGTGAGCTGGTTTTGGTGGTAGGACTTTCAGTGAGACTCCACAGAGGGCTCCATTGCCAACTCCTGGAAATTAAAATGTAATGCCCAAAATAAAGTTAGATTTTCACCCCTGAAGATTGTGCCAGGGGTAACAGATCTTTTTTTTCTAAAAGCTTTGAAATCAGCTAGCCCCTTGTTAGAGAAATCTGACTGAATGCTTATGAAACTGAGTGAAGCAATGCCTTCCTCAGGAGGGGTTCAGAAACATGTAGGGGCTAGAGCTGCAACCTGTACTGAAGGCCAACCTGCAATGAAAACATCAGGTCACAAACAGGTGTTTGGGGTTTTGGCAGCAATGGGACACTGATGGCTTGGATCGTGCTTGAAATGTCTCTGTGCTTCATCTCTGAAGCCTCAATCACATGAGCAGTCATGTAGCACAGGCCTTAGGGACTGGGGAGTTACAGAAGGCCAAGAAAATACACAAGCCCCTTAGTATTCATCATAATTATTGAAATCTGTAAAATAGGCATTAGAATAAGTCTTTGCAGTAAGATGGGGATTGAAGTATTTATTTCTCTCCTCCAGAATCAGGTTGTTTTTGTTAAATGCCTGAAAAAAAAGGAAGAAAAGAAAATGGAATAAAGGAAAGATAAGATTACATACTACTTTACTAAGCATACTACTTTACTTTAATCTTGTGGCAAATATTTGTGAACTGTAAATCAATCAAAACACATCCAGAAACACCCGTACTTTTGCAAAAACTTGCATTTGTCTGCTCAAAAATGTTTTACAAAAAGCAATGCTACTCAATAGAATATAGTTATGCATATAGCTTTTCTCCAGTATTATAAGACTCTATATTCTTTTTAACCATATCTATTCAGTTCTTCCATTATTAGAATGATTCAGTCACTGTATTTTTATTAAGAACTTTTTACTGCATCAGTATATATAGGAATATGTAGGAGAAAAGTCTGAAAGTTTTAAGAACTAAAATATCATTTTATAAAATGACTTAGGTATTTAGAGAAAGATTTTTAAAATATAGCTTGCTCTTGCATGGATCCAGAGAAACATTAAGTGGGATTTGAAAAAGCTTTAAGATAGGCACAAACTCCTCCACTGATGACAAAACCTAGGCTTTTCTTACCATTTCTAATAACATTTCTTAAAATGTCTTTAATTAGCAAGAAAAAATGCAGAAACTGAAAACTGGATTCGCTAGGATTTATGAAAAATACTCATTTACAAAAAGCTTAGCAGCTACACAAATAAACTGCATAATCTGAAGATGCTCAGCCAGGTATTTTTGGGATGCCTGGTCTTAATTTGGTTCAATAGATCTAAAAAGGTGAGCTAGTTAAAAAGGTCACGACGAGAAACAGTATTTTAGGGACAGTGGTTACATAATACAGGTACAATGCCAGTGTCTCAGCTAATGTATATCTGCACTGCTCATTTTTAGAATACTCTGGGTATAAACAGTAGCTGATAATCCGATGCATATTCACCAAATAAAATCTCCCAAATAGACATATCACCATGCTGTGAACTATACATCTATGCCAAAGTAGGACCATTAGTATGTGTCATGATGGTTGTTAATGGCCCTATTTACTTCTTGAACAAGCTGCTAGGGATTATGACTATGAAAACAAGCAAATAGACACTAGCGGCCTGGTTTCTTTCAGAGAACACTGTATAAACTGCACAAAAAACATAACTTCCTCTGTAATAGGGGCTGACCAAGCAAAGGATCTGCAATTATGATACTTCTAGGGAACTCTTTTTTTTTTTTTTTTTTTTAAGAGTCAGTAAAATCTGACTCCAAATGTCATTGCAGAAAACCAGTCGGGAGAATTTTTGGGAAGCTGTATAATCATATATGCTGTGTGTGATGGGGATCCCAAACCCCTTGCTCACCTTGATGGCTTCTACAGAGTCATACTTGTCCAGTTTGTTGATATGGTTGGTGATGCTGGTATTCAAAGGAGCTGGAGACACAGGGTGGATTACGGTTGCGTCGTGGGACTGCTGCTGATAGCGTTGGCAGTAGGTGTAAACAAGCAGGGTAAGAAGGCAACCAAGGATAGAGCTACTTAATCCCACTGCGATCATATGAAACATGTTGAACTCTGCATAGTGGACAGCAGAAGAGAGCCTTAGTTTTAAGTGACAGCAGAAGGTTCAGAAAAAAAAAAAGCAAAAAAAAGAAAGGTAGGGTAGTGCTTGACTCAAAAGGAGGATGAGGAAAATTTCCTGAGTTTCTCAGAAATGTCTCAATTTTTAATTCCAACCATTTATCTCTACAGAATCAAATGCATTTTATTTCCTGGGATGGATCATTATGAAACTCTAAGATATCATGCATCTTTCTGAGTAGTAAGACTGAGATTGTTGAAATGTGCTTAACAAAGAATGCAAATAAGATAAATGCTAAATCCTAAGTGTTGGAAAGCTCATTAAAATTTCTTCGTGCACATGCTATAATGTGTTATATATATAAATTACGTATATAAAGTACATACGTGGTTTATTTTCAGTGAACTACAGCATCTGCTCCTATGATGTATGTGCACTGCGACTTGAGACAGAACAAAACAAACCCCCAAGTCTTGGAATCACAGGTCTTGCTTTCCCTGAGACATTTTTAGTATTGTCTTTATCTGGAACACACTCCAGGTCAAAAGGCCTACTTCTTTTCCATCCCCTGCTTTGTCTCACTGACTTTTTATCTTTAAAGCATGACTGATTTGCTCACTTCTCCAGTCTTCTGATTTTTTTTGTCTATGTAAGGGGAGAGTATGAAAGAAATGGCAGCATTTAAGGGGAAAATGGGGTGAAGAGAAACTCCGTAGGAGTCTCTCTCAGGATGCTTTTAACCACACCAGCCAGAAAGGGTAAGCAATTGAGATTGCAGCAGAGTCCAGACCTGGGACTCTCCCATCTGTTCTTCCCTTAGGAGACACTATGGCAAATTCTATCCACATATGCAAGAAGTAAAACTAAGAAAGCTCACTGCTGCATGAAATTGTAGAAGGACATCTAAAATGAACCCTCTGAAAAGGGTTCAGTATACAAGTGCCAGTTTTGGGACTCAGAGTCTAAGTTAGAACTTTTACATGCCTACTGAGAATTTAGGAACATAAAGGAAGACTTAAGTGAACAGGCACATTGCCCTATTATGTAAAATATCTCTGAAATATCTTTCTATACTTTTACAAATGTTTTCCGCTGTCATGTGGAATGTTTTCAGAATTCCACTTCTAATTAGGAAATCAAATCACATTACCCTGATAACAATAGGATAATGCATGTCATGTATGCTCTTCATAACCATGCATATCCCTACATTGTCCATAATTAGGTTAAAAATATAGCTTACTTGTGCATGGAAGAATCCTAGAACCAGCCAGAGTTATAATCACAATCACACAGCCTAGGGTGATAGCTCAACACGCACAAAAAAGGTCGTTTTAAAAAATTATCATTTTTGTTCTGATGCAGTCTGATCTATTACTGGGTTAGCAAGATATTCACTTGGAGTCCTAAAGAGATTTGTGAAATTATTATCCTGGAAAGGGTACCGCAGCTCTACAGCTGTTGATCTGCCCATAACTAGCTTATGATGTGAATTTTCTCTTTGAGGAAAAAAAAAAGGGTGACTGGCATAAGGAAAAAGAAGCAAACAAAACCATATAGTAATACATGCTCTTGTCTCAAAAGTTGGCAATGGCAGCTGGATGTTTAATGAGGAATCATTTAGCAACTATACCTTTTTCTAGGCAAGTGAAAATAATAAGAATGTGACATTTAAAATGTGGGATAAAACTACGAGAGTGCAAAAGGTGAAACAAATGGAAACCAGACAGAATCAGTAATTCAACATTTAATACATAGATAGGAGAGAACTTAAAAGCTTACCGCCACATCGTTTCTCTTCTATGCTGCTGGATCGTGCCACTGTTATTTCTAGAAAAATAAGTAAGGTGGTTATGCCATGGAGTTAAAATGTTATAGACAGCTACTAATTTCATTAACAGAATAAGAATTTCAAAAGTTATTCTACTGTGTTTACTCAGAGTCAGAAATACATAAAAAGGATTTTCACTATGTGATGGAATTAACAGGAAGGTCCCAGGACACCCTCAGCTTTCTCAGATTCCCAAGTAATACCAGCAATGTATTTTTCATCCTTGCCTCAAAGGATCTCCGAAATTAAACAGATCATGTGAAAATGAGCATTTTTTTGGGGGGGTAGGAAAAACATGTTGAGAAAGCACTGAATAACTGAGTGATAAAATTAATGTAAATTTTATTATTTTGTTCAGAGCTGAAATGGATTCATTACTTCTAGGAGTCACATGTATTGCTAGCAGGAAAAGATAGAATTTAAACATCTTCACAAAAGAAGACTGTTAATTTCATAGGTTTTGACAGTAAACTAATAAATTGTGATTCCAGTCTGTGTCCTGACCACTTTTATTTTGGAGGGATTCGGAATAAACATTCCAAAGAAACAAAGTAGCCCTAAGACATGAAGGACAGTAAACAAAATATGAAAATAGCATTTTATAAATCCATGGCATTGTTCACACCTTGAACACTGTGTGCAGTTTTGGTTTTCTCATCTCAAGAATGCCTCTAGCAGAACTAAAGAGAGTTTAGAAAAAGGCAGCAACGATTGTTACAGGCATGCAATGGCTTCTATATGAGGAAAGACAGACAGACATTTTGGACTGAGGAAGGAGCAGTAGATGAAATCTGATACAAAAAAAAAAAAAAAAAATTAGTGGCAGGAGAAGCCAGATAGCAGTTGAAGGTATGCTGCTTCTTATAGTACAAAAAATAGGGTCTATTAAATAAAGATATTAAAAGCTAGGACTAAGAAAAGAAATGGATAAAAAGAAGACATTGTTTTCATGAAATAGAATCCCATTGTCAAAAGATGAAGCAAGAAGATGAAATATATGCAAGAAATTCTAGTTCTTATGAGTGGTTCTGGCATAAAAATTAATCTCTTCTCCAGCTTGAATTTTTTGCTGAAGGATGCCTTAGCATATTACCAGATGTGAAACAAAGCGCTACGACTTTTGCATATCTAGCATACCACAGACTATTTCTGCTAAAGCGAATCACAAAGTTTTACCCTCTTTCAACTACTAAATCAATGCAAACTAATTTCAAAGTAAGGAAGCATCAGGTCTGACAAAATAGACTGATTTAGACTATTACAGATACTTAATGGCTGGGAAACAGTTAATTCACAGCGCAAACAAAAAGTAGAGAGGAATGGATGCAAAGACAGTAAGGATCCAGAAAGTAATGTTGATATGGATTAACTCAAGAAACACAGTAGTAGCAATGATGAGAAAAAGTAATTTTTGCACTGAAAGAAGGCAGGGGGAGGAGGAAACAATGTGAGGGTGGACATGCTAGGCCACTAGCTGAGAAAAGGAGTGAGCTGAATTGGAAGAAGTTGGGAGGGAAAGAACTCTGAGGAACATTATTTAATAGGGGAGTGAACGTGAGCTGGAAGATCCCAAGAAAAAAAAACTACTTTGGCCAAGGTGAAGAGCAAACAAACCAGAAGGCCTAGAGAAGAGGTGACTGCTGTATATTCCCCTGGCATTCCTCACTTCAGACTCTGCAAACGCATACTTTCCAGAACAAGATGTAGAGCTTATATTGGATTAAGTGGAGCATTTGCAGAATGTGACTATTAACCAAGCTCCTTTGAAACCCTGAGCAAAAGGAGAAAATACAACGTGGGAGTTATTCTTTTCAAACTGAATTCTTTAGCAGTGGTTTTAGAGGAAAATAAAAAAAGGTATTCGTGAGATAAAGAACTTATTCCTATTGTCTATGCACCATTCATAAAGGCAGTTTATATTTGCTGATGTCTTTGCAATATTGCACTGTATTGTACAACATTGTCACAGAGAAAAAGATTGCTGTGCTGAGTAAACATAATTTATTTCAAATGATACATGAAAATGTCGATTCTTCAGCCTGTGAATAGGCTACTGTTTTTCTGTAAGTACTCAGATGAAAAGATGATTGCTAACAGCAGTACAATGTGTCAACCTTTCTGTGAATGACTGCTATGATTCAAAGAAAAGAACTCGGGCTTGGGTTTCAACGAATACTGTGGGGTGATGCATGACATGACTGTCCATCAGGCATTTAGTGGTCATGTAGGAGATATAGATCTGCAGCACAGCTGACAGCATTTAACTTTCTAATCAGCTATTAATATAAGAGACTCCATGAAATGATTTCGTAACTACTGTGCACAGCATCCAGTTCTGTACATGCAGGTCATAAAAAATAGAGGAACGTTTCTATAATATCCCCAGAACCTCAAAAAACAAACAGACACCCTCCCCGCACCTGCCCCCCCCCCCCAAAAAAAATAGAATAGGATAAAATAAAATAAATAAAATAAAATAAAATAAAAACAAATTAGTTCTCCTAACTGTCTATTATCAGCTCTGCACCTTTTTATTAAGTAGAGTGGAAGGACCTGGGGAATGCTGTTATACTGAGTAATGAAATTCCCAACAGATCTTCATGAAGAGACTGCATCCAGCAACATCTGCTCTAAAGAACACACCAGAAAAAAGGTTGAGAAAAGGCAAATTCTATTTAAATTCTTGGCTCTCTGCACAGTGCAGCATGAGGAGATAATCAGCCCTGTTACTGAAATGTTCTGAAATATATCCCTTGTGGTTGATGGAGAATCTGGCTCTCACCTGGTATGAAGTTAGAGCTGAAAGCACAGCCTCGCGTCTCTGTGGTGTTCCCAGAGCACTGGCTGCCCACAGGGAAGAGGATAGCGCACTGGCGAACGCGGAACTGAGCTCCGGACGCGTCACACTCAGACCACTCGGACCAGTCCGACCAGCTGTCTGCAGGGAGCAGAGAGAGACACAGGCAGTGGTATTAAATGCATCAAGCAAACGGAGTGAGAGTGAATCATAGAATGCTTAAGGTTGGAAGGGACCTCTAGAGGTCATCTAGTCGAATCCTACTGCACACGCAGGGTCACCTAGAGCACGTGGCACAGGGTGGCATCCAAGCAGGTTTTGAAGATCTCCAGAGAAGGAGACTCCACAGTCTCTCTGGGCAGTCTGTTCCAGCGCTCTGTCACCCTCACTATTAAGAAGTTTTTCCTTAAGTTCCTGTGGAACTTTTGCTGTCTCAGTTTGTGGCCATTACCTCTAGCTCTGTTGGTGGCCACCACTGAAAAGAGGCCAGCACCTCCTCACTGCCTCCCTTGAGGTACTTATAGACACTGATTAGATCCCCTCTCAGCCTTCTTTTCTCCAGGCTGAACAGGCCCAGCTCCCTCAGTCTCTCCTCACAGGGCAGATGCTCCAGGCCCCTGATCATCCTTGTAGCCCTGTGCTGGACTCTCTCCACATCCCTCTTGTACTGTGGGGCCCAGAACTGGACACAATACTCCAGATGTGGCCTCATCAGGGCTGAGTAGAGGGGCAGGATCACCTCCCTCGACCTGCTGGAGACGCTCTTTTTGACTGTGCCAGGGGGCCTAGCCCTTAGCTTCTGCAAAGCAACCAGTGACAGTTAGTAACATAAAGAGCTATAGAAATATGTATGCCCACTCTAAGAGAGGATGTTTGTTCAACTAAAAAAAAAAAAAGTATGTTTCTTTCCTTTTCTTTCCTTTCATTCTGTTCTGTTTCCTAGCTGTAGATAGAGAAGGCTACTTTATACCTTAGATGGGATCTTGTTCTTTTCCTTCTGCCATGTATGGTTCATTAACAGTTTCTATCATTTCTTTGGATTTCTTCCATTGCCTATGTAGATTTGATTAAGACATTTTTAATTCATACCAGGCAATGTCTTTGTGATCTCAGAACACTTAAGTGAATTGACCCAAATGCCATGAGATGCTGTGAGCTTGCGGAAGTCACCTTTCTTACAATTCAATCACGAAACAAAACAAAACAAACAAAAACATTGGCCTAATTTGTTTCAAGTTAGATTGGCAAACACTTAAATTTGTGAATAATTTGAAAGCTCACAAAACTTTTATGCATTTATTTATGAATTGGTTGGCATATCAGAAGAGTCTTGCCCTACTTGGGCCTCTTAATATATGGCACAGATCTAGCACACATGGTTTGTATTTGCACTTTAATTTCTCCATAACTTTACAGGAAAAGGCTAAAACTAAACCTCAGACTAAGTGGATTACAACAAGAATATTCTAGACTTCAATTTTGAAAAATGTCAAGCAGCAAATGCTTTCTGTGACAGTGTTAGCCATTGACTTCCTAATTAATACCATGGTAAAAAGAAATGGATGGGGCAGATTGAAACAGCTTCAGCACGGAAAGTCTCCAGCAGTGGTCCAAGGACCATTTCCTCCCGTGCTGGAATCCCAGGTGCATGGCATGGGTAGTCAGTGGGTCGCTACCTGTACCTTTATGAAGAGGTCAACCCCATGCCTCCTGTATGCACTTAAATAGACTCAGTTATTCTGTCTCTTTCCTTTGATCTCTTTATCTTTGAGGTATCCAAGCCTGTCTTGAACTCCATGCAGATTCCTCACACCATTTTCTGCTTTCCACCTCATTAAGGCTCCTCTCAACTTGCTCCTGATTTCTCTGCAAAAGTCACGAGGACAGAAAAGAGAGGAAGGACTGGAAAGGTGCTTAACCTGGCACTACCTTTCATCTTTAACACTGCAAAGTTTACTTGGATGTCTTGCCTTCTGCCTTCAGCATTATGTCTAGCCTTTGAAGTCAGTAAGTCAAGCAGATCCTTTGGGTGAAGAAGGTACCTTGGAAATATCAGGCCACCAGTCTATAAGATCATAAATTTCTTTCATGCAGAACCAGAGCATATTTTCTAAATGCTCAGCTGCTTTATCCTTTATTTCCATGTGTGAGCTAGAAGTTCAAGGACAGAGTATATTTCTCCCCCTCATGGAAATTACTTTAAAAAATAAAATATTGCTTTACTCAGGATATTACAGACAGATTATTACAGACAGAATTTTGACAGATTATGCATACTGATTAACAGTGTATAAACACTACTGATCAATAGTGCAGCTATTTCATTCATACTAATGGGGCTTTCTTCAGATAAAACAAAACAAAACAAACAAGCAAAAGAACCCACAAAAACATACAGTGATACAGCTCTTAAAATGAAGGATAAAAAAAAATGATGTATGGTGAAGCCACAGGTCAATAACCACGTTTCAGCACACACTTTCAGCTGGTTTTGTTATTAGCCCTTCATATCCTCAAAATTCCACAGCATAAGAACTTTTCAAATTTTAGCTTTTTTTCCAATTTTGTTTTTGTCAAAAAAGCACTATTTCAAATGCCAAGAAAATTATGCTCTTTCCATAACTTAATAAATCTTTTAAATAGTTTCTATTTTTTCATGTATATTTATGTGTTATTTGGCAGTTTCTAGTTTCACTGATATACCTTTCTTGTACCAAAAATCTCGTTCAAACAGCAAATGTCAACAATGGTATTTCCAGATCTACAGTAGCAGGTCATGATCCTCACCACAGTAAAATGCCTCTGCAAGGATGCAGGAATTAGTCCAACCTCGACCTTGTGTAGCACTGGGGTCATTTTTGTCTCCTACCAATGTGAAATAAGGGCAGTGAAGCAGCTTTTGCAAATGAACCCAGGGCTTCATTCTCACAGCTAGTTGTTAGACGGGTTATTTCAAAAACATGTGGTAAATTTTCAGCGAGGCTGAAAGATAAATAAGACACCACAGATGTGTAAAAAGTGTGTTTCACTCTGAAAGTGCATTGCTTTACAAAAATGTTTACCTGCCTGAAATAAAATGAAACCAACTTCCCCATTTGCTGCAAAACTTGGTTAATAAGTAGGTTGAAATAAGATGTAGAATTACGTGTGCATTTTTGTAAATTGTCATTTCTAGAAAAATGTTTATAGAAAATAAATGCAGAAGAGAAGTAGCTATAATGCTAGTAAAATGAACATTCCAGTTTTGACCTTTAAACAAGTTTCTAAGTATCCCAAGTCAGCTAAATAACTTCTATGCATAAATATACACTATTTGGTTTGAACAGTCAAGCCATCGATTTGTATCTTCTTTTTCTAAACCCAATTCAGCATGTTATACTTGTTTTAATTTTGACAAAGTAGGTACTTCTGCTGCAAGACATGCAGCATTTGGAAAAGGAAATTAAGTAAAATTGCAGTTCTGTGCAGGTAATAGGATCCAGAAATTCACACAAATGGAGCAAGTGCTTTCCTGTACTTGACCTCATCATACAAGCAGAAAACTTTTGCCAGGCAGTTTAGCAACCTTCTGTGAAGCAAGTAATATAATGTGATGACAGAACTACTTGCAGGCACTTCCTTTTACTGTTGTCTATAACCTGATGATAAGCAATAAATGAAAACAAACTTTCCCAGTGTCTTTTCACTCATGATTTTACCTTCTTTTTTATGTTTTTACTCGCTACTTCTGACTTTAATTTCCCCAGAAGTTTTATTCCTTTTATAATTCTCAAAAGCCAAGTTACAAAGTCATGATCTGTTATATAACTAGTAAGAGAGCTGAGACGTTTCATTTGCTAAGCACTTTAGAGTCCTTTAAAAGATAATTCTCTGTTCCTTAACATCTGAAGTTCAATAGCATATTTTGCAAAGATCATTTCTGTTGGTTTTATATGAAAAGCAGCTTAAGCAAGGGTTCATACAAGACAATATACACTTGAAAGAGTGATACTCGTACTGTACATGCCTCAGCAACTTGTTTGCTGGGGATGAGGTGGTGTCCAGGAGGCAATATTCTTCTCTTAATGAATCCCTTGTGAGTGTAGCATAGAAGAGCTCAGTATACATTTAATAAAGGAGAAAGATAATTTGCTAACTAAACAATAGATTAAAGAGAAAGAAAAAGTTGCAGTATTGTAAATGCCTCATTTTGCACAACAGGAACAGCAAAGCCGTTTTTTTTGTCATACCTGGACATGGTTGTGTGTTGCACAGTGCTTCTTCAGTATGGAGACCGAGACAAATATCTCCCCCATATGCAGGAGCAGGGTTTGTGCACGAGCGGGTTCTCATGTAATGCCCTCCTCCACAAGTTGCTGAGCACTTGGACCAAGATGACCAACAAGACCAGCTTCCATCAACTGGAAAGACACAGGATGTCATATTGCTGCAGGTTGACGTGGAAAAAGATAATACAATCCAGTCTGCCTTTCTCATATTCTGTGGATATAATTCATAGCCTTTTAGCTCCCACCTACCAGAGGCCTATGAATTGAATCAATCCACACAAGTAAATTTAAATTTTTATGAAGCCATTGGTATACTGCGAAGTCTAACATTTTTGCTCATCCGTATGACATACCTTCAGAGGGACAGCATAATAGTATTCATGTTAATGTCCAAAAATGTTTTCCTTTTTTTTTTTCTCTCCTTCATGAGCAAAAAAATACCAGAACGTATTTAGCCAAAGTATAATAAGCCCCAAATAAATTTGCATTTATAAATAAAATTTAATCCAATAATATATAAGAGAATCTGAGTAAAGTCAATTTTATTTCCCAAACCCAGGTGAGATTGCCTTGGCTCCACAATCTGTTTCAATTGGTCCATAAAAGTTGTCGGGTTTGATGGGCCAATACAATGTTACAATTGTAACTCATCTCCAGTTATAGCAGAATGATGCCTGTTCAAAACAGCAATAGAAGGATGATCAAAACGAGTTGTCGCTGTAAGCTCCAAACACAGCTTGTTGAAGAAACTCCAAGATTTTTCTCACTATTATTTACTGCTTCAGGTTAGCCAAATTGTTTTGCAGTTGTGGTTTGAGTTTTCATAAAGTTTTTCTGAAACTTGGAATGGATTTTACAGGAGTCCTATTTGTTGAACAGCTTTTGATACTTAGCCAACAGACATGATGCTATTGAGAGTTTGCCTTGTAGCCTGCACTTGACGGACTCTCTTGCAGCATCTAGCTGTTTTCTAGACAATATTTCTGGTAGGTAAGGCCATATTGCAGCATATCTGCCACAGGTTTCCAATATGCAGCCGCATAACAAAGTCAGATCTATTTCTTCCAAATATATAACATGTACTCCAAAGACTCTCAGTATTTGCATTTTCTTTCGCTAATAATAAAAAACTGTCAAATATTCAAATCCTATAGAAAAAGGATTCCTTTTCAAATCTCTATTTAATGTGTTAAAACTTTCCCTCTCAATACTTAAATAAAAAGTAATTTTTACTTGTCTACATGTCTGCAATTTATAACAAACAATATAGAGTGCGTAATTAAGCTGACGCTGGCAGATTAGGGAAAAAAAAAAGTACAAAGAAACCGTCCATGCAGTATTTGCACTAAAATGATCTCAGAGGCATTGTAAAATGTTAACGAATATCATTGTTGTTTAGATGGCATTGTATATCACATATGAATCTAGTGAATCAAGGAGAATAATATCTATTGAAAGATTGTAATTATTAAAAACTGAGTTAGGAGGTGATTATTTTGATATTAAAATCTATATGTGCGCTTAAGCATGTAATTTCAGATCCAGTATATCCTCATATCTCCATGTGCAAATCAAGCAGGTAACTTATTGGTGTATACCTAAGGTTATTAGCTACCTAGTCCTGAAAGTGAAATTGTTGAATAACTGATATTTTATTTTGTATAGTTTTTACAGTATTATTCTATAAATCAAGAAGCCATAAAGTTGGCATTTCCTTGCCGAGAACGTTAATCGTAATAACTGTAAGAAAAAAAGATATCTGGCTTTTGAAGCCTGACTGGACAGAGAGGATTCGAGGAACTTTTGGTGCCATATTCAAAGGATCTAATCTTAAATAAATTATCTCCAGTATTGAGAAACAAATTATTGTTATCCTTTTTTCCAGGATAGATTCACTTAAAACCCAGCCGAGTCATCTAGCTATACAAATACATGAGGTTTACACCCATGGTAAACAAGACTGCATCTCGGTGCAGTGTCTGACTCATTCCCTTATTGACATAACCACCAGAAACAAATACCATGACTATTTGCCTGAAAGGATTCTATTAATTTAGTATTACAGAAGGTGAGAAAGTCATAGTTTATTTGTCTTCAGTGCAGATAAAAATAAAACCTGTAATCCTCAAGACATGGTATCTCTTATCCAAATTTGCATTCCTTTCATTTTTTATTTTTTGCAATGATATCAAATAAAAGCAGAAACTGTTATCTAACTCTTCAATTCATGGGATATGAGATTAGCTTCTAAAACATCCTTCCTTCCTCTCTCCTTTCCTTCCTTTACACCTTCAAGAGGCAGAATAACAGCCTAAGATTGAGAGGATTGACAGATGATACTCTGTCTTATTTGCTGAGACAGTGACCTCCAACACTTCTGCTTATTTATCAGTGGACTTATTTTAATTGAAAGGATTCAAAATACGCTTGCATTTCATATGGACATATGAAATGTCCACAGGTAACCAAGAACAGAGACCTAAAAATCCCAATTTCACATTACATCCCACAAATACGGGTATCGTGGCTATGCATTTGGATGTAAAGGGAGAAAGGGGTCGGTGAGGGAGATGGGAAAGGACAGATATAATGTAATAAAGACCGTTATTCATAGTTGAGCTAGATGGTACAATGATAAATGTTTTTCTTACTGACTATGTAGTGACAGACTGCCATTCTAAACCTCTAGGCCTCCCAAAGACCAACGTAACTATCTCTTTTATTTGTCCCCAGAATTTTTTCTTTCCAACAAAGGAGGATAATAAAGTATCACCACAGTTAAAGATGATCAAAGGAGTGGGTATTTACTACGTGAGTTTTTATAAAACCTAAACAGAACTCTGTGGTGTCTTTCATCTTTCTTTAAAGTTGCTTAGCAACACAGCACCATCTGTTTTGAACTTTTTCTTTTTTTTTTTTTTTCCTCATTTTGTCATGGACTCCTTAATGTTATTTCTGCTTCGTATAGGAAGAAAAATAAAGAGCAGCTAGTAAAGCTGCAGCCACTACAGTTTTTTACATAATACTCTTTTCAAGCTGTTGGACAAAAAAAGTAGCTAAAGTATTTCCACAATGAAAGTTACAGTCTTTAAGTTTCCTGGCAATTCCTGAGGTGGGTCCCTTTTCGAAGAAGGCCCCATCGGCAAGCAGGCTGCTTGCAAACAGTGCTTTTTCCTTTGTGGTGTCTTCCCAAACAAGCCAATTTTTGCCTTTCTGCCTGTTCTTCTGGATAATAAATATTTAACCACAAAAATGAAAAAAAAAAAAAAAAAAAAAACATGGGGAGGAGAATGCTTTGGGAGAAATCACGTATAGGAACAAGATCTCCTGGGGACGTGATAAAACATCCACACTACTGGAGAATTTACAAGAGACTCTTAATTTAACTGGATACCGTGCTACACACTTTGGGATTTAATAGAAGAAGGAGAAAAATGTGGACAGACATAGTCATGTCCATTGCTTTCATGAAAGCAGAGATAAGACATGACCGAAGGCTTTCTCATATACTGCCCTGTCTGATTTCAAATGTGCATATAGGATTCTAATATTTATTTTGTTTGTTTTTTGTTTTGTTCTGTTTTTTTTGTTGTTGTTGTTTTGGTTTTTTTTGGTGCGTACCTTTAGGTTTATAACTTTTCATGTTTTGACAGTAGCAAAAGAGAATAAATAATACTGAGAGAGATCAGAGTCTTTTCTATTTGCAGGCAAGAATACAAATAGAGGGGCAGTAGTCCTCTACATTCCCAGGGGATGAGTCAAAGTAAAATCTTGTTGGGCAACTTTTAGCCCTACCACAGTGCAGCTGCTTTCTAGACCCCCTGAGATCACCCCCTTGCACACCACTTAGCCTACTGCTCTTCCCTGCTCCAGTGGGACATCGCTGCATATTTTTTCACTGTGGGAAAGTGCAATTTTTACATGCAAATTTGAAAGTTTTGTTTCTGTGATGCTATAGTTTTATTAATAAAAATAATGTTGGATATACGGCTAAGTCAATCCAGTGCACTGAAGAAACACAGAAAGCAAACTAATGCTTCTTGTGAAATCAGAGCAAGAACTGAGTCTGTAACAGAGGCATCTAAGCTAGCTGGAGTCAAAAAAGAGCAACAACTACTTCCAAAGGGCAGTTCAGCTCTGTCTTCACTCGCTATATAAGAAACTTAGAGAGATCAATGCATGGTAGTGCAACGGGTAGTGATTTCAAGAGCTTCAGAGACAAGCTTTTTTGACACATTAGTATTTTTTTCCCCCTGATTTAGGACATTACTGCAAAACAAGTTTGGTTCATTTCTTTAAATATAATTATGCTTTCTCATGGCCAATTATGACTGCAAGTAAAGAAAAATGGAAGAAAAAATAGTAAACAGCAATAAAGAAATCAGCAAGTAATAACTGGCTCCAGGAGTTGCATAAATAACTTAGTCTTTCAGAATGCTTTCTGATATTTGAAACCCTCTTCATTGCTATTAACATATTTACCAATATGTGGATGCCTGCAGCTATCTGAGTTTTTCTCAGCCAAAATGTCAGAAACAAACCAAACTAAAACTATTAAAAAATTGCAACTAGTTGAAGCCTCAAACAAAATAGCACATTTTGAAATCAAAGGTAGAAACTGTCCTTTTTCTCTGAGCCAGCAATACAATCTGAGAAGAGAAAACAGAAACTCATTAAAAGATGATCATGTAGATATGCTTTAACTCCTAATTAAGTTACTTCAGCAAGGGCCTCTATGTGCAAAAGCATAAAAGAAAAGGAGTAAAAGAAAAAAAAAAAGAAAGTAACAAGAAACAAGACATAACAAAAGCTAAGAAAATGCTATCTTTTGTTCCAGTGTGAGCCAGGAGAGAATTCCTTTGATTTGGTTATTAACATATTGAAGAAAACAAGTCTTTCAGTTAGTAAATTATTGTTTGTTTTTCTTAAATTAACAGAATTTATCATTCAAACACTACTTCGCTTTATCATGTATTTCTTATCACCATGGAAATATCCCACAAACTCCAATCCAATCTCCAATAATGACTCACTACCCAGATGAAAATATTAGAAAACCTTGTTATATAGAGATTCCTTTCTTCTCATATTGACCACATACTAATTACTGATACAACAACAAAAAGCAACATCAGCGAATGTTCACAAATCTTCTCTTTAGTCCCTGAGACTGGTCAGTGTTTGACAGTTCAACTCTATTCACTGCATCTGAATCCTCTTTGGCATTAATCACAAAAGGACTGTATTCTGAACTTTCAGCCATTTGTTAGCAGCTGAAAAAGTAAAGTATGCATGCATGGTACTGCTAGAATGTAAAGGAAGATAAGGGTAGATTCTTGCAAATTGTCTTCCTGGTAGATACAGTAATATGTGGTTTCTCAGATTCTTTTTGCTCTGCAAAGTTTCACTGATCTTACCAAAGCACTTAGCCAAAAAAGGTAAGACTCCTTTTCTTTTCTTTCTTAATTATTACAGGATCTAAAAAGAGGAGTTGTTGTCTAATAGATTCAAATAGGAGTCGAGACTCTTATGACCTTAAGACAATCTGTCTTTTCTCCCAGGTAACTTCCCTAGATAACCTCCCTGTACATTGTTTGAAGCATCTCTAAGCAGTGCTGGTGGGACAAGCACATGAATCCAACCTCACGGAATACTCTGTACCAGGAAAAACCCTGTTGCTGGCACAGAGACCAGTTGCCACAGAAGAGCATACCCATACTACCAAATTCTCCTCTTCGAAGCATTTGGCCCCATGAAGACCAATCTTGTCTTACACTAACTCCCAAACTACTTTTGTAGATTATTTGGGAGAGTGCTAGCTAGCCCTAGCCAAAATTGTATGAGGCATCACTCTAAAACTTGTTCAGTAGAGACAGATCATATTCTCTGGCCTGAGTTCAATTTCTAGAAAATTTCTGGCACTGTTCAATTTATAGTTATATATTCAGCCTTCAAATATAATAGTGAAAAGTAATCTGTTTGGTGGTTCCTACCAACCCACACTTTAATGGATCATTTACTTTGCTAAGAGCAGGAAAAGTCTTATCATTTCTCTCTTATCCCCTAGACTGCAGAAAGATTTAAAAGTAGCTGCCTAAGTCAGGTTCTAGACAGCTTTGGTATTTTTTGTAATTTATGGTATCCTGCAGTATATTTAACAATACGTTTCAGCAGGACTTATGAACTGTTGAACATATATCCCTATTAATCATCTTTTCCAACAAGTTAAATTACAAGGGTTTTATCCTCTCTGATAACAGATGTAGCATTAGGCAGTCAGTAGAAGAGCTGAACAAACAGAACCTGAGATTGTGTTTACTAACAGAAATGTTACTTTACAGATGCCATCTCACGCCTTCTTACTGACATGAATAATGGCTAATAATTACTGGACAGTAACAAAGTGGTTCTGTACAAGCAGGGAGCATGTGAAACTGTGCTTATGTCAAGGGAGCTCAGATATATCTTACAAAGCATTTTTTTAACTGCATATTTATTTCTAGTACTACAGTCTGTACATCAGGGTTGAGGTGAGACTAAAAGTTCCTCAAATGCCTTACATGCTCAGTCTACATCTTGTTTACTTGGATGGGCAAGAATCGACTGAACACAGTCCCTGTTTTTATATCTATGCCCACAGTGTCAAGAAGGGATTGAAACATTTATTCCTACTTAGTCGCTACATGGCCATCTGCTTCGTCTGTCGAGTAAGTCAGATCAAAGGCTCCTTACCCATATCTTCACTTTTCAGCAAAGAATGCGGGAATCTACCTCAGACTGTCTACAACACATGAATTTCAACCTTATGGTTCTCCATTTTTATCCACCCATTTAACTTTCTGGGATTAGGATCTAGAAAATGAAAGATTTCAACAAGAGAAAAACAACAAAAAACAAAGATACACCTGCCACTTTCACTGTTTTTCTCTTCAAATTTATCTGAGATCTGACTTATATTTCACTTCAATTACTGACAGATGATAGATCTGTGGCTGAAGATCTTTGTGATTACTTGAAGGTTACATCTAAATACTTCATCCAAACTGTACAGCTTTATTCAAATCAAATTTGCACTAAAAAAAGAAATTTGTCTCTTAAGAAAAGTATTAAATATATCCTTGCTTGATTCAAGAACACTTTGTTCTAACCAATCTTGAAAAATTTCTTCAAACGCAGGAACAGCTGAATTGCAAATCACTTGGAAACAGAGCACAACTTCAAGTTCTATTTTACTATTTTGTGCTTTTAGTTTAGGGTGTTGGCTTATTTGGACAACATATTATACTTTCATATTCCAGCTATGTCTTTTACCAGTTTCCTTCTAAAATGTAACAGGGTACTAGTTACAGAAGTACCTGACATCACTCTGAAAACTTTAAAAACTATAAAAAAATCCAGCACAGCATTTAATTTAAGAATCAATAGCAAGGGAAAACAAGAAGTCTGGACCCATTTTAGAGAAGTTGTTACAGCATGCAACAGGGCTGTGCAAATGTGTGAAGATTTGAGTCACTATCAAATGTTGTTTCTCCTTGCTTTCATCTGTCTCTCACATGACTTGGTGTAGACAACATGTTCACTCTCTACTTATCAAAACATATTATTGAGGTTCAACTTAAGCAGAAAGTATGCTTTTGAAGGAACTACATACTCTTGAAAGGGAAACTGTGCCTCCTGGACAGAGTTCCAACTTGGTTTCTGATGTAGAGAAAGGAAAGCTCTTGTCAAAGGGCTCAGAAAGCTTAGAGAATGCATCTAAATGATAAAACTGGGCAAAATACCAAAAAAAGATCAATTTAAACTCATAAGTACATAGATATGTGTATATATGTTTGTGTTTTTATGACATTAACCATATAGATGTGTGTATGCGTGTTTGTGTATTTTCTACACTAAACCTTCATGTTCATACCACAATCCCACAAGCTGAACCTTCAGTAATATACACAGTACTGTTAATGCATGCACAATCAATAGGATTAAAGATGTATGAAAATATTTCTATATTATCTATTGATTTTTACATACTGATTACTTACTGATACAGTATTGAGTCAGTCATTATTTTTCTCCTCTACTGTTCTCAATTACTTTCTACACCTTGCATTCTCCCTTCGTATTTTAATTACACTTTCTTTTCCTCATGTGTTCTCTTGTATCCTTCTTCTTTCTTCTTCTACAAAGCATTCTGCAAGGTTCAAAAAACTTTGAACTTGCATGTCTGCTTTAGGAAGGGTGAGAGGTGACTAGAACCAAGTTGTGTTTTTCCCAAATGCCAAAGATAGCTCAACGGTTTATAACCAAAGTGGTTTCTTGAAAACATGTGTCTTGGCATTTTTTTTTTTTTGTAGAATCATAAACCACCTGCTAGTGAAGGAGAAACTCATGATTCCAAGAATAACCTTAACCTCACAGTCTATTTGAGATACCAGCTATTCTGGTGTTTTGTCCAGAACCTTATTTCTTATTTGCTGGAGACTTTATGCTCACAAGTCGGCAAGAATTTAATTTAGCAGCCTCAGCAACCATTGTGATGAAAATTATATTTTCCATTTAAATAAAGACTAGACGAGTGTTCTTATAGCTTTTATTTTCCTTCTTATGGGCTTATTTTTTAAAAGTTACATTTTTATAATCAAATTATCTCAAATGAAAGAAGACATAGCTACATTTATGTTGTTGCCGATAAAATGACTGACATTACGTCGGCATCTTGCCCAAATCCAGTTACGTAAATAATAAATGCAACTAGCTGTCAGGATTCCAGTTGATATTAACACATTACTAAGAAAGCTTAAGAAAATCCCTCTTGCTAGAAGCCAAATCATATGATTTCTTGAAAAGACAACAACAAAAAAGAGACATTTCCATTTAATACTTACCCTTAATCATTCATGCCTGAGATGAATACTAAACTTAAAAATATTTATGCAACATAAAATATAAGAGGTTTCATTGCTATAAGCAATTACCATGACTGGGTTTCCTAATATAGCAAATGATCATTGAGATTTCTGTGTAGACTCTTGGCAAGCTCAGTTGAAACGGGCTAATTTGTTTCCTTGGAAATAAAAAAGGCCAGCAAATTCATCTTCCTGTGCTATAGCTTATTTAAAAACAAACAAACAAATTGAGCAACCAAGTAAATAAAACTATTGCAAGATCCAGCTTTGAAAATAAGTCCAATTATCTTCATATCCTTCTCCCACTTCAGCTGACTCTTACCTGGACAAGGCAAAATGTTGCATTCTTGGTACTCCAGAGATGGGCCGAGGCAAGGAAGTCCCCCATACTTGGGCTCGGGATTGCTGCAGACCCGTTTGCGGTTCCGTATTCCTCTGCTGCAGTCACGACTGCACTGAGACCATGGAGACCATGGTGACCAGGCACCATTGATAGTATGAGCAGAGTATCGTCCAGAACGCAGGAAATCTCCTGACAACCCTAATAAATAATGATTGAGAAAACAATATTGAATTAAAATAGTATCTCCCCCCCAAAACAATCTTTTCCTCTTCAAGTTTGCTGGTAGGCTATTAATAGTAAGAGGACAAGGAGCATCACATCCTTTAATCTCACAATCCAAATTCTAGTTTTGTCTCTGCTATAATGGAAATTTAATAACCACTCATTTGCTCACTTCACTGCAGAGAAGAGTGGGATCCAACTCCTTCATTCAAGTTCTACAGCTGCATTGGAATAATAACGAGTGAACTTCAGGCAATTTATGCCATTCAAGGATGATAAAAAATACCTATCCCCTACCCAGTAATTGACATCAGCAGATCTCCAAATACATTATATAGGTATGGTTTGAAGAGTAAGAAACAGGCATAGCACTGAGCCACCTAGGGTCAATTCATGGAGTCAGTGACAGATGCAGATGCAGTTGTTGTGCTCAAACTTGGGTAAGTCTCCTAGAAAGGAAGGACCTGTGTTTGTCAATACCCAAAATCCTGTTCATAGCATACGTCCAATACGCCTTGATGTAGCCCCAGGTCAAGTTCTTCTAACATTCTGCAGCTAAGATGAGAATCTTGGTCATTCTTGAGCTTGGTTCTGTATGGCAACAAATGTCCTCAACCACACGCAGCCCAACTCTTGACCTGCAGAATTATCTCTACACATCAGGGATACGATTGGGATTTCCTGTTGTTGCCAAAGCAGTTCCCATTCATAAGGGTTATTATGACATGCACATTTGGTAATAAGAAATGTTGAGATTTATGAGGAAACAGTGAAAGAGCAATATTAAAATGTCTAGAAATTGGTAAAACCTTTCAGTGGATATATTGGTAACGATTTTCCTCTGATGAACTAGATTCTATTGCACACTCATGTTATAAGCAGCATTTCAAGAAACACGACACAGATTAATATCCAAAATGGGACAGACTGCAGAGATAGAGTCTGGAAATTAGAATACTGGTCTAATTTATAACTCTGTAAAAGCTTTTTTTTTTTTTTTTTGCAAGTTTCTGCAGTGTTGGTCACAAATGTCCAGTTTCCGTGTGCAGTGAGATGTGAGACCAAAACAAATATAGTATCTCAATACCAGAATTTCAAATCACTGTATTTTAGCTATTAAATTAAAAGCAATGCAAATACAAACCTGTTCTTAACCACACTGGTTTATCAGGCCTCCTCTAAATGAAACACTGCAGCTTGCATCTCTTTGTATCAGTATTACAATGTTCTGAAGGCACTTTGGCAGGACCGAATAGGATAGGTTTTTCAGTGCTAAGGTAATCTTATTTGTCATAATTATATTAGACTTCTTGCAATATGAAGTGGGGGGAAGGGGAAGGAATCTTCAGTAGAAAACCTCTGAAGAATTTTAGCTCCAAATCATCTCAAACAAGAACATTCTATCAAATCTTTTTAGTACATAGTTTGGTCAGCAGCAATTGTTCCCTTGTGTTTTCTTTCTAAGGCATTAAAAATTTATTACAGGCAGCAGCCTTTCCACAGCTTTACAGCAATTGATATTGTGTTCATAGAGGGATTTATAGAATTTTCTCTTCTAAATTGGAATACTGAAGAAATATTGAAAACAAAAGCAGAAATGTAAAATTGTTGACCCTAAATCTCTACCTAGAGGCCACCACCTTTACCAACTGTACTCAGAAGTTACCTACAACTTATTGTAAAAGGGGAGATAGAAGAGAAAGATTCTAGACCCATTTTCCAAATTATTCTGGAAATCTTTCTTTAGCATTATAGCAATTTTTGCTGGGCCCCTGATATATGGGGAGAGCACTGGAATCCTTCAAATAAAGTAGAATGAACCTATAAAAGGGACTCCTACTTTTCTCATAAAATTGCTGCATTCTTGCTGCCATTTCATCCACTTGTTTGAGCCTGTAGAGGTCCAACATCTAACTCCAAGAACAGAAAATGGATTGTGCCAGTCATATGAGAAGAACATTAAACCTTCTGTATTTCTCTGTGTACTCAAGGTGAACATCTCTGATCAGCAGAAAATGCAAGGGACAGTGCCCTCAGCTTGGTAAAAGCAAAATTCTGTTGCTAAAAATGCCATCTAAACTCTTCTTACACTAGGTTCATCATTTGAACTTGTTAAACTAAATGGTAGAAAGTCTATAGTCAAGTTAAAGCCCCGTGAATTAATATAATGTACGATATGCATTTTTAGCTTCCCAACAAGCTTGATTTTAGTTGTTTGGATGTTGCACTCACTTTACTAATTGCAGTACTCTGAGGTTGGAAAAAGGAATGTAATGGCTTCATTCCAGTAGGATTTTAGACAGGCATTTGTGCTTCCCTAAAGCAAAACTTTCAACAAGTGAAGACAAGTACTACAAAAGTTCAGTAAAAATTCACACAGATTTTATGGTCCAAAGAACCATCAGCTTCTAAGACAGAAGTACACAGATATGAATAGACATTTAAATGAAAGATTTTACCCTCATTTTAAGTGCTTACTCGTTCTTCACTGTGGAAAAGGGCACACAGAATTTTGCATGGCTTCACTGCTGACTTCCTTTTTCTAGCAGTTGGCAACAGCAAGGTTGTATAATGAATGAAGTTTCCCTATTTAATCTACATAATTCTGACCTAAGCTGAGATGATGTGACAATGTCTAAACTATTTTGTAATACTTCTTTGGTCTTTTAATTCCACTATAAAATAACCTTGTTTGGAAATGTTAATGTGAAAGTCCCCTGTTTTGGCTTGTAATGGAGAAAAATCTGCCTTAGACTTGATTGACCTGATTCTTCTTAAAAATTGCAACATTCCTTGATGAGTTCTATTTTTTTACACTCAGTAAAACACTCTTCTTACATGTCTTATGTTAAAAGCTAAACTACCAATAAAGCTCTCACACATATAATAATTCTCTGGTCTAGTCTCTAGCTAAGGAACACAGCTTCAGATAAGAGAGGGGTAGACATGATAGCTGATATTACTTGACTGATTTACGTCTTAGGTCCTTATGAATAAAATTCAATCAATCAGTCTAAATTAGTGACTATGAGGAAAAGATAATCCAGAGCCAAGATTTAAGTATCCTAAATCATTTCTAAATGACTGTTTAATACAGCAGACAACAGGATAAGCAAAGACTGTTTTCTGAAGATACTGATGGTATCACTGAAGTGTAAGCTTTGCAAACCTACACAGTAAAATTTATGTGGCATTATGAAAGGACAAATACTAAGGCAATGTAAAGATGACATATTTAAAAGGCTGGCAGTTTGGAAGGGGAAGATTTCCATGTTATCATGAGAACTTTATTTCTTGTATCTAGCTTTTCTTTGTTTATGTGCTTAATCCCAAAGTTCCACTGAAGAATTTTGGTTTGTCAAACTCATTTTTTTCACCAAATTCAGATTTAACTTTAACAATTCATTTTGTTCTTATCTCAGACTAACTCAACTTAGCTCCAGTAGGACAGGACAAGAGATAACATGTCAGCATGTATTCGTCCCCACTGCAGAATATTATAGATGTTTTGTTCTCAGCTACATACTTAATGTGCTATAGATTTCCTGTGGGTAACATTGGCTTTATTTTATACTAGAATTTAAGACAAAATTAAAACTCAAATTTAAAAGAATATATTTTTTAAGTTAGGTATAGTGAAAGTAGTAACAAATTGGAACCTAAATCCAGTCTTCCAAGTACGTTTTTCTGTGTCTTTTGAAAAAGGAGGGTAAATTAGTATGTTTGGCGCTTTACATACTTAACATGCTTTATAAGCACATATTAAAGGCCATGGTGACACAATTTCTAGATTGTTCTAATCTTAGACTGTATGGACATTCATGTTAAGTTGTGCCTACAAAATCTCTCTCCATTTATTTCATATGCCTGTCCCTTCCTCAGCTGAGCACTACATAAAAATTCAAATGCAGACATAAAAAAGAATTTCTTTGTCTTTCTATTCAAATTAGTCAGAGAATCATGATTACACAGTGTGCAAAAGCTAGTGCTTGGTTGATCAAGAGAACTGCTTCCAGTAGAAATCTTACCATATTCAATAGTCCAGGGTTTTTTGGCAAGTTCTACCTCTAGGCTCACAATCCAAAGAAAGTATAGTTTCCTACTGTCTGACAGTGAAACATATTTCTGCTTAAAAAAGCATGACTATAGTTGTAAAGTGGGAGATTATGAGAAATGAGAAAATTACTAATCGCTATCCCAGGCAAAGAACAGATCTGATCTTTGCAGAAGACATTGGTAATGAGGTACGTCAAGCACTCTCAGTAGCATTAATCTTTCAACAAAAGCTAACGAATCGTAATGGTTCAACATGAAGATAATGAAAAGAATCTTTCGTGGTATCCAGGCTCTGGTGAGGTAGAAGTAAATTATGATGTTTCCCTGCTGTCTTTCCAGAAATCAGGAGATCCCATTCTCATGAGATCCTTCTGTTCTTAAAGCTATAGCTATACTACATCATTATCACACATGTGTTTTCTTCCCGTGAAACCAAGGAGTGATGGAGGCATGACGTGTGGATCCAACTTTCCTGTGCGATCAGGAAAGTCCTCCTGGATACTGTAGTTTAGAGACAGTCAGTAAGTTTCATCACATTGACCAACAAAACAATATTCCACTGACTATTCCACTCCATAAAGACTTCCATAAACAGAAAACACACAACAAAAACATAAGCAAACAGGCTGAAAAAAGGACATGGCTACCAGAGACATGACAGTAAATCCTCTATCCAAAAGCATATTAGCTAATGTATCCTCTTGAAACACTGGAGAGCTGGGTTTGATTCTTTCCTTTGCCCTCTGGTATTTGCCTCTTGCCTCAGAGAGAATATATTTGGTACCAGCCTTCTCCTGTAGTTGCTAAAGCAATTTCATTATTCATGAAATAATTAAAGACTCTCTGGCCAATGAAAAAGTCAAAGAATGAGCACAAATTTGTGACACGGGTATGAAGGCACTTATTAGGAAGAATGAACAGATGTATTCTAGTTCCTGCCCTGCTGACTACTCAATATGAAGTATTTAAATATTCAGTAGTACTAGGACTAGTCAGCAAAGATCCTCTCAGATGAACACTCCAATTACCAGGCAACAAAGCCATGCTTATACCTTTGACCAATGATTAATTATTTCCAAAGGAAGAAAAATAGCAGCTTCAGCAAGATGGAGCAAATAAGCTACAATGCCAGAATGCTCAGGAGTCTGGTGTTTAGAAATTAAAAGAAAATCAGACAAGATTCAAGATAATCAGGCAAGGAATGCATGCAGATGCACGCCGTTGTCCCTTGCACTCTGCCTGAATACAATATATTATTTAACAAAAAGTAGGCACTATACTTGGTAAAAAAAAGGGTCAGTTTACACACCCAACTCTGGGAAAGGATTTATGATCATGAGTTCAGAGATGAGAAAGGTGTCTCCATCATTAACTTCCTTGTAGCAATGTGATTTAAGATGCTCTGACAGTGGTTTGTGCTACTGATTGACTAATCCGTAGCAAGTGTACTGGCTTTAGCATTCTCCATCCTTATGTGAGACCATCTCACCCCTGTCAGGTCCAATGTCCATGATATCTAAATTCTTCTGCTGATCTCCTTCTAGTTATTTTTGTAAGTCTCCCAGTTTAGTACTATCTGGCTAAAAACACATACCCTCTTCCTCATTTAATCTCATAAAATTTCATAAGGTTTCATAAGTGTACTTCAAGACCAGCACCATCACCCAGGAGGACAAGAAAGGTTGGTCAAAAATCATTACTACTAAAGCACACCTTTGCTAAATGCTAAACTTAATTTGGAAGAAAACAGGAAAATAGTGGAAGCACTTCCTACAAGAATTGCTCCATACCAAAATCTGTTTTACTACTCAGACCTAGAAAATAAACATTGGAGACTGCAGATTGGCTAATATCCTTATCTGGATGCCCACGAGTTTCATTTTAGTATTTCACTTCGTTCATTGTTATTTATTTTTGTAAACATTTATTAACTTCCCTTCAAAGAGGCATAGATGATCACACTAATCAAAGAAGGTTTTACCCAGGATAAAGAGAAGGAGACGCTTAACAGTGCTTTTCACAATAGTTGGATATGACTGTCTGAAAAAATATTGAGAATTACAAAGTCCAAAGACTCAGGAACCTTTTCCTCTTTGTGGTCTCTCTTTAAGTATTTTTAACCTACCTGGGTGTTGTAAAGACACAAAAATCTATGTAAGTGGAAAGAAGGTAAATAAATACTGAGTTATAATAATTAAGTATTAGTATTTCATTAAAATATGTAATTATAATACAAAAAGTAATATTGCTATACAAAGAAATGATGACATATAATTATGTAATTGAATATAGTTCGACACTGATATTTATGAAACATATTAATAAAATCTGTGTCAGAAGTCTCCTGCAATTGTACATATATATAATATATACAATTATATTACATTATAGCATGTGTATGCATATATATGTATATAAATTATTCAAAACTATGTATCACTGTTAGGGAAAAAAAAGAGATTTCAGAAATGAAGGAATTCAAATCTAAAGGTGTCTAGACTTAAAAAGCATTTTGAGGGATTTGATTTTTCCATCTTAGAAATAATCCGAACTTTAAAATGCTGGCAATAGCGCAATATAAAGGTTTATAACAGATATTACCCACTTCATAGACTGCATGAATCTGACAGCTATTACCTTACTGAGCACATTACTTTAGCAGGAATTACTAAGTAAAAATTTCCATTCATTATCTATACTAAGTGCTCCAGCTAAATACTTATAAAAGACCTTAACATTGCACAATGTAAATTGTACTCTCCCCAAGTAAAATGTAACCAGAACATAAGGAGATGAAAGAAGTCCTACAAGAGCTAGACCACCAAGCTACTGATTGCAGATTAATTCAAAGAATATAAAAATAACGTGGCAAATCTCAGAGTGGTTAAAGATGCCTGATTAGTCTCCATGACTAAGCTATGCCCTAAAGGAATAAAAACTACTTTCCCCATCGCCATCCTCCTGCCCTCCTTTACATTATTTACATTACTGTCATGCAAACCCCAGCCAGGCAAAGCTTACACCCCGTGTTGGAGATGGCACTACAGGCATTTTGCTAGCCAGTGGCCTTGTGCAGCCCCTCCATCTTTGCTCACCGTCAGTCGAGCAGCCGCTGGTGCCGTCGCTGGAGCAGTACCGCATTTCAATCCTTTGCCTCCCCACCTCTAACAGGTTTGGGTCAGGCAGGCGTGCTTTGCAGGTGTATCGGAATCGCTGTTCATAGTGGCCACCGTTGTCCGAAATATTGACCGGAGTCCAAGGGGTCCAAGGAGTTGTCTTTTTTAACTCTGGGCAGGCATTGGTGTTACATGGCTGATATTCCTGAAAGAGAATGGTCAGAATGAATGCAAATGTTTAACATTACATTAAACAGCAAACAACCAGCAAGAAAATCTCTCTGATATTTCTCCATTTGCATCTGCTGTCAAACAGCTCCCTTTGGCGTGTTTTATTCTCAGTTCCCAGCATTATCAGACTCACTGCCAGCAACTTCCTTGTGGATTGACACGCACCGAAGGGAATGGATCATATCCAACAAACAAATGTAGTACTTGGCAACATTCTCCAGCCTCACAATATATGCTCTCCAAGGAGACTGTCCAATTTCTGTAGGTCCCACCCATTCATTTCCCAGAATATAATATGCTTCACCTGATGCAATGGAAGTGCTCTGTAAACTGTACTGACAAAACTAAACAAGCATTAAGCATCAGAATGAATTTACATGGAAAAATCATAGAAGTCAAGGAGAAGTAGTCATCGGTGGGACAGCAATTTAAAAATGATCTCTCTACCTCTGACTTCTTACAGACCCTCCAGAGGATACGTTTCAAGGAAAAGCCTGGGAACTAACTGTTGAATTCCTCTAGATACCAAAAATCACAGACACAATAAAAATAACACTTAATAGTTTAGTTTCCTTCTTCTGTCACTACTGCCTCTGCTGGTACCACCATGTTTCAATGGGCAATTAATTGCCTGCTTCCATCTTTTCCATTGGAGAAAGGGATGGAGATGGAGATGTCTAAGTCCCTTACAACCACATGTGTAAGTCCCTTACAACCACAACTATTCTGTGATTCTGTGAACCCGTAACGACGACTTTGCAGGGACAGTTAGAGCTCCTAAGATAATGCAGGTTATGCTCCCAACCATTTATTCACCTCCATTGTATGATCTACTTCAACAGCTGGACTACAGTGCATCTGTTAGAAAGAATGCTCACTCTCTTACCCATAATGCACACTTTTAAATACATCAGACATATATGATATGATCAGATATATGATTGCATCCCCACCAAGCCTGTTCCTCTATTTAGTAACACTTCACTTTCTTCCCTAATTTAAATTTCCGGTTATTTAATTTTGCTGTTCCTTTATCAATGATGCTGAAAAAACTCCCTGTCCTGCACTGATAAATGCACTTTTCACACCAAATACCCACACACAGTAATAAGCAAAGTTGATTTTTTTCAAGTTGCATAAGGTATAAAACCTGATCTCTACATCTTAGGCATCCCATGTCTCCCTCTGCCCTATTTTTGGATCTTTCTTAGGACTGAAAAACAAAATTTGACTTCTCATTCTAAAGCGCTCCTGTCAATACAGCATGCAGAGGTAAGAACTTAACACTATCCCACTCAACAGGTTCACTTTAATATAGACATCTACTGTGTTAATGCTTATCCCTTCCAGAGACCCAATTATCTCTGACGATCTAGTCTTTCCCTCAATCACAGTTTTACAACTCTGTATAGCTTCCTATCGCACCCAAGAAGTTGGTGTTTGGCAATATTAAAACATATTTTATTAGCTTCTGTAATTGTCTAGAAAATTATTTACACCACCACCATTCTCTATGCCATAGTCAAGTTTTACTGACCACGTATTATGTTACAGTCTAGACTGCTAATAAAAATGTTAAGTGCTATTGATCCATGAATTGACTCCAGAAAGATCCTGCGAGAAATCTCACCAGTCATTTATATCTGTCTATTAACACCACATTTTTTCAATTTGTCAGTGGGCCAGCTTTTAATCCATTTAACATTTGCCCTCTTAATTTCATATATTTAGTTTCCCAAATTGACATATGTTTTGTTGCTAATACAAATGTCCTAGAAAACTCCAATGACTGGAAGAAGTCCTGAAAATAAAAGCTTTTATTTTTTAACTGCTTACTACTAGATATAGTTGATACTAGATATAAACAAGAATAATTCAATCAATGAAGCAGCTTCAGCAACATTAATAGTCATTTCACAATGATGTAAAAGCTTCAGTTCCTCTTTGCTATTGATTTTTGTACTGTTATTTTTCAAATCAGAAAGAAAAGTTGTTAGAAACTGGAAGTCTTTCCGAAGTGAATATGGATTTGATAGTTGAGAGGCACATGAAATAAGCAGAAAAAACACTTTTCAAACACAAACAAGAAATGGAGGAACCAGATAACTTAATGTGTTTAATAATGCTACTTTGTTAACACATTTCTAAGATGAACTAGTTGACTCTCACATTCTAGAAAGAAAGGCTACTAGCAGCTAATGTGCTTCAAGACATACGGTCCCTACATACATCCCTAAGATATTCATATCCTGTTACCTAAGCCAGAAAAAAAAAGAAATTCCTAAATATCGTAGAGAAAATCAAGGGAAACAAACGTACATGAAGATTACTCCGATCACAGAATACACACAGTAATAAATAATCCTTCTCTGAGAAAAATCACATGGGCTTTTTACCAATGGGCAACTCCAAGGTGTCACAGCACCAATAATGAGAGCTTCACCTGTTGTCCTCGGGAACAGAGCATCCCATACTCACAGTCGGTCTTCTCTATTTTTTTCAATTTTCTTTATCAAGAGCTGTCCTAAAGAAGGTATCAAAATGGCACGCAGGTGCGCATTCTTCAGGTATCTGTTAGCAGCGCTTAGCTAGCCTGCTCAGGAGGGAATTCAGGAAATGTTGGGAAATGAGCAGTCCCACTTGCTCAACTTCTTAACATCCATTTGATCCCCGCCTCCCAGATTGTGAGAGGCCCCTGTGACACCCTTGAGCACACTCCAGGGCTTCAGCTCCTCACTGCTTTTTGTCCAATGCTTGAATAATTTACATTTCAGACAAGTAGTACTCTCCAAAGCAAGTCAAGCAGCTAGAATGATAGATTCAATAATAAAACATGGCGTGCACAGGTATAAATGCCTCAGATGAAACCACTGAGCCAGGAAACTAACATTAAGAGCTAGAAAAACATAAGCAGTGTTCTGCTTCGTAGCGAAACTCACTATATTGTAACTTGTAGTTTAGCGTGGGTTAGTCAGTTGAGATTTGCCATTTTTTAGTGCTGACAGACATGCAATAAGACCATTAAAGACTAGATTTCTGGGAATAGCTCACCATGTAGAGGGGATTATTGGGCAAATTATTGAATCTGGGAAATTATTAAATCACAAAATACATATATTAAATCACAAAACACATGCTATTAAAAGTAGATATTAAAGAGAATTAAAAACTAAAGTATCAAATTCTCACATAGCATATTGACAGGAATGTGAGAAAAGACATAGTAAATTAAAATTCAGTTACTTTACAATTACATAAGATTGATTATACTATTAGCCATCTACCTTGTTTCTGTGTTTAAATAATAATGCTTCCTAATATTTGTGCATAATGAAAAAGAATACAAATATATGTTATGTACCATGATTTACTTAGACTTTCTTTGTATTACTTTACAAAAGAATATGTTATTTGCAAACTATATCTTATTTTAAACTGGAGCAGACTACTTCCAAAACGTAGAACAGAAGTCTACTATTTCCACTTCGAGGCAGTAGAAGAAAGGCTTTTATTTATTTTTCCCCCTTCTACACCTCCACTATTTTCAACGGTTTTAGGAATCTGTCTCCAAAATTCTCCTATTTAACTGAATGCTTCAAAAATCATTACAGACAATGTGATATTCTGAGACTCACTTAGTTAGGAAATCAAGCTAAAATCTTATCTGCATTTTAGCTAAAATTTTTATCAATAAAAACAGAATACATGTAAATTTCACTATTCCCATTTATATTAAATTCTTTTATTTTGGAAGGACTTCCCTTCACAGACTTGTATAATTTCTTTACTGTATATTTCATGCCTTTTTGAATGCACTGTGTTTTGTTCTCTTCTGATTTTCCTTCTCATGGGCTGATGTGAGAGATTACCTTTATAAAACAGCTAAGTCAGCATTAACAAAACATTGAAACGCAAGCTGATATGGTATGCTAAAATCTTAAATATTCTTTCAGAATTTTTGAATAGTGACTTTGAATGACTTATTGATTAGAAATATTTACACATATTTTGCTTTTTGTTCCATCAGGCCAAACTTCAGTATGCCAGGCCCCATAACGTTATTGCCCTATAAATTGAATGATTTAGTGTGTTACCTGGGACAAGATAGGGCTCATATATATAATAACCTGAGTTTCTGGGCCATCTGGCAAGCTTTGAGCTTGTAACAGCATATGTAGTTGAAAGAAAGGGCAGCTCCTTCAAGCAAATGAAACTCAAGAGAAACACAGATTCCATTTACAATGGCTTTGTTTAAACATCAAACCATCCACTTCCTGAAGGTGTAATGCAACACCTATCTCTTCAAGAATCAGAAGACAGCGTTTCTATTGCACAGCAGTTGAAAAACACATTTGGAAGAATCCTTTAAAAAGGATTACCCCATTTATTTTCATTACAGAAATGCAGTGCTATGCATTTAGAAAGCATTTTCAAATTAAAATATACAAATGACAAAACCAATGACCATGACACCTAGTAAATATACTAAATGCTATTTTTCTAATACAATACTTCTTCAAAAGCATGATCTGAAAGAATACCCAAAGCCCAGTGCTTCCATTAAGCAAACATCTTCTACATTGCACATTTCAGAGTTATACTTAAAAAAGGATAACTAAAAAGGTTCTAAGATCCTGATCACACAGTAATTGTGAAAAGGCGCATCTATCTCCTACCTTATAGACAGTATTTTAGCTCCATTTATTTTAGCTTAATTAAAAGCAGTGGGAATGTGTCCATTGACTTCAGACTCCGGACTTTAGAGACTATTTCCGAAGGCAGACACAGTCCCGCAGCGCAGTAAAGAAAAGGTTTTAGTAGACTGTGGTCCTAATGGATTTTTGAAAGATATTTTAATGAAGAGAGGAGAAGCAAATTATTTTGTCCCATATAAATGGAGCGTTTTTGATTTTTCTTCTGAAGTGAACTTACTGTTTCTCCAAATACTGATTGAGCATGATCTTTTGATTTTAT